ATATATATATACATCAAGCTTTGTTGCATGGTGGAATAAAGCACTTGTCAAATGTTATGTTCGATTATGTGAAACTTATTAGATTTATATTGTTAAATTTTCAATATATCAACTTTCTATAATTTTTAGTGAAGCCCAATCAAAGAAATTAATAATCAAAGTAGTGAATTGGACACCACGTAAAATGCAAGTGAGTAACACTTAGGAAAACAAAGTGAGTATAACTGTATAAGGTTATGACCTTGTTTGACAATTGGCTGCTGATTGATGACTATTTCTCTTGGTTAATTTGTCCAGCTGCTTGTATTGGCTTTTATGTTGACTCTTAATAAATATGTTTGGTTAAATTATTTGTTGTCTGTTTGATATTTTATACAAAAATGCCAAAAGCCAACAACCAAAAAAGCCAAATAACCAAACATATATATATATATATTATGGTTGTTTGAACACAACCATAAGCCATTAAAAAGTTGTTTATCAAACAAGCCCTATCAATATGCGAGATTGTTCATACTAATTAAGATTTTTTTATTTCTAAAAAAGTTTATTTTAAAGTGCAAGTTGATCAAAGAATAAAAAAAAGTCAAACATTGGTATTTAATAAAGAAGTAGTGCGTCACTTGACCGATACCCTTAATAATTACTCCGTACTTAACTATTGTTGGTCATTAGATCAAACTTATTTAAAAGTGTTTTAATTTCATTGATAATTTGAGCGGATGATACTCCATATTTCTAGTGCATGAGAAAGGTACCACGAATCATGTATAAACATAGCTAGATACGGTTCATTATTATCTAACTCTTCACTTTGATATATGTCCGTTTATGTTATCTAATCTAATCTTTAAATCAAATGCCAACTGAACATGCGTTGGAAAAAGAGGGATAAGATATTATTAATTGTAAAGTATGATGGAAACAACCTTTCCAAATGGACACTATCATAGTATACCTCCACTAATATGGAAGGCAAATTATGTAGTAGAAGATTATATAGTAATAGCGTTAAGAGATTAGTAAGTAATGCATGAACATAACAATAAGCCATACTTACTGATTCTATCAACAAAGTTTCGGCCATTAGAGAACCTTCCCGTGGGTACACCCCCCGGAAAATCGATACCGTAAGGCGGGTAATTGGCTTTGGCCTTGGTAACAAGGTCATTGTTGTTGCCAGGGTCGGACAAAGAGTCTCCAAATACGAAGTAACAAGGGACCTGCGGTTCGCAACGAACGAACGTTGTCGTAGAAGAAGCCATGAGGAGTAGCGCAAGAAGTGCTACTGCTCCTCTCGTCATTGTGGCTAATTACTGAAAAGAAAAATTCAATAAGCAAGAGAATGATGGAGATTAGAAAATGTAAAGCACTATATATATATGAAGTTGTATTATGGAGTGCGTTGCCAATCTTGCCATATTTTATAGTGACAGTGTAAGGCCTTGAATAATTTGTTATTTGTCTTTGTATAAAATGATATGGATGGAAAGCAACAATTTATTAGTCTTCACATGTGACTTTTTTCAGTTTAAACTTAGCATCATAGAAAAGTAACATCTCTTGCAGAAAATATTACTAATTTAATAATCATGTCTATGTAAATAATTAAATTAATCAATAAATACCCTCTAAACCCATGACATAGTACTCGTAATTACAGTGTGTTTGGATAAAAAAAAGGGGGAAGGAAAATAAGGGGAGGGAAGAATAGTGAGTTTTCCTTCCAAATCTCTTTATTGTTGGAGGGATTAATTTCCTACAATTTAATCCCTCCATTTCTCTCCCTTCCAATTTCCTTACTTCCTTATTTGTTATTCAAATGAAAGATACCCCCATCTCTCCATTTCCCTTTCTTTTCTTTCCCTCCATTACCTTCAATCCAAACACTCCGTTATTTTATAAGGTTTGTTGGCTGCACTTAAGCTCTAAAGATCCTAATGTCATATTTCCTACGCTTTTCAATGATATTTGCATCAATTGGCCTTTTATAATATTCTTATACTAACTTTTACTACTATATTTTACCACTAATGTATATAAATAAATTTCACTATTTTAATAGTTGTTGAGTTAGTTCAAACATATAATTTCAAATCATAATTTTTAATAATTTTTAATTAAGTAGCATTACATATATTAATAGTCAAAGTATTAATTAACAAAAGTGTATTAATGGAGCTATATATAATTATCTGTATATAGGGTTGTAATAAGGATTGTAAGATTATTAAATAATACAACAAATTCCCTCTCAAATATTCTCTTATGTTATTCATTTTCTCTCTATTTTCTTATTCAAAATCCAAAGAAGAAATGTTTTGATTACAGCATGTAACACGTATGTCAATTGATGCAAATATTAACAATTGAATACCCAATTAAATGGAGAAATATTGACGTATAGGACCTATGTGCTAATGAAACCATTAAATTATGCACTAATCATCTCTGCTCTTGTTGTGGGCCTTGATTTAGGGCCCAACGCTTTATTGTCTTAGAGGTCCAGCCACGACCCCTTTTCTAATTTTAAAGGCTTTTAATTTGGCTGGTTTCTTCTATGTTATTCTTCCGGTTAAAAATCATAGGTTTTCTTTTGCTTAACTTTTCAAAATTATTTTTCATATATAAAATGTTTGTTTTGCCATTAAACCATAAGTCAAGCAAAAACGAAAACTATTCCTTGTTGAAGGACTTTTAACAATATACATATTCAACATTTTTTTTTCTTTTGTTTTGTTTAGAGAGCCACAGGACGGGTAATGAGAATCGATCTTAGGATCACCTGGAATCGGGAGGGGAGTTCTAACCACTTGAGCCATCCCTCACTCTCATATACATATTCAACATTTGATAATAATACCTAGTAGCTATAAGATTTTAAACAAAGTTTAAAGTTGACGGAGGAATTTTACCTGATGATGATTAACCCAATCGTTAAATCCATATCTTGTATGGATCAGCTTGTCAAATTAGTAGACTAAAGTATATGCAAGTAAATCTTTCAGTATTTTGTGTATACATACAATCCCCATTTTTGTCTATGGTACGGCTAGTTCTGTAATACACAAAGACAAGCAATTAATGCAAGTAAACAATCTATGACATGAAAAAAAGAACAATTAGGCATCCTAACAAAATATGTATCAATGAAAATGATTTAACTAACATGGATAAACTACTAATAGATTGTAACATTGATGGATAAAGATTGATATTATAGAAACATTGATGACTATAATTACCTAATCTAAATTTGGGCTTAGAATTAAATTAGTAACAAGATAGAAATTTGACCAAAACTCTAAACACAGTCAATCAAAAGGAAATTCATAATTTTTGCAATACTTCGTGATTTCTATTCACACTCTATGTTGAAAAGCTCTATGTAAAATCAAAGACAATAGTTTCTAGGCACTTACGTCCTATTTGCTTTACTTTATTTTTGATGAACTGAAATTACTTTTATTGAACTAAAATTATTTTTAACTGATTTTCTATTAAGTTTCTTTTTTAAAATTACTGATTTTTATTGTAATGAAACTATAAAAATGTTATTCTTCCTTTCGTGCTATCAAAGAAACATATACCTAAAGCGTTTGGCACTAACGATTATGGGTCATAAGAATGTAGGATTAATTAATAGATTAAGTTTTTCTAGAAAACAGAAACAAATTGAAAGAACTCAATTATTGTTCTCAATCCCCACAACTAATGTACTGTATTGAGGATTAGTATATAGTAGTTATTAAATTAGATTAGCGGGAACAATTATCAAAAGATAATTAACTTTCTAATTAAATTCATAATTAAATAAGAATTAATCTCGATTTTAAATATATATCACGATCTATTATATAAGCTCAAGGGGTGAGGTGATGGTGTCCCCTTACAAAAATTATAACATCCCTCTTCCTTTAAATATGGAGTAGAAATAATAATAAATAAATAAATAAATAAGTCTATCATCAAATAAAAAAAAGACCAACAGCATGAAATAAATTACATTCAAAATTATTAAGAATCAAGTTTTGATTTTATATATATCACATTACTTAATTTTATATTCATCAATGCAATCAATGAATTACCCCATAATAAATTATATGTAATTTCAAACAATCAATTGATTTCTACTCATAACAATTAAAATCTTCTCCAATTAAATTCAATAGCAAATAAAGAGAGAAATAGAAAAATGTCATCATTTTATTACAAAAAAAGAAATAGAAATTATTATTGAAAATCCCAATCACTCACTACCATATTAATCGGGGTACCAAGTTGAATTGCAAACTTTCACAGCTTCACCTATTCATTTTATTTTTATTTTTTTTATTAATAATAGTTTTACACAATTGGAGACTATATAAAAGGATAACTTCATATTAATTCGAAAGTATTTTATGTTCAAAGGGTGAATTTATATATACTTTCTCTGTTTCTCATCCTCATCCTTTCATATTTATAAAGAGGGTGAATTTATATAGTGGTAAAACAATATTCTTTATTAAAGGGTGAATTTATATAGTGTGTGTTGTGTGTGTGCATGTACGTGTGCGTGTGTGTACATGTAACACTAATTACTCTATTAGTGTTATAGATATTAATTACTCTATTAATATAACAGGGGTTGATTTGTTAGTGTTATAGGGGTTACTCAACTCCAGCACATGTCCTTAATAATCCCTAACTAATTTTCATAACTAATAATATTCCACTAGATTACAAGAATAGTTTGTAGACGATTGTTGGTTGTGAAAATATCCACGTGTTTGAGGACCATAATTTATGACACATAATTTTCTTATTAATTAATTTTGGCACGTATTTATGACACAAAATTTTCTTATTAATTAAGTTTGGCATGTATTTTGGCCCCTCTTTTAGAAGATAACAAAACGAAATTATTGAGAAAAAGAACTAAATACATATAAATATATATATATATAAAATGATAAAGAAGTCAATCTTCAATGCACAATGTGATGTATCTTAATATCCAATATAGTATAAAAAAAAAAAAAAAAAAAATCAAATATAGTATAGGGTAAACGTAAGTGCAATCTTTGCATTACAACTATACATTTACTATAGATATTTATTTATTTTTTATATACAATCTCGTGCCCCTCGTCTCCCAAGCTAAAACCGCAGCTCAACTTGGGAGAAACTCCATCAAACATATGCTCTTCCTTCCCGTGGCCACATAAAACAACTCCGTGACAAGTTCCACCGTATTATTAAAGGCACATCCTCCATCTCTGATTATATGCGCTCCCTTAAGGAATGCGCAGATCATCTAGCTGCTCTAGAGAAATCCGTTGATCACGAGGATTTTATAGACCGTGTCCTCGCTGGTCTAGATGACTCATACAAATCCATTGTTGACTCTGTCAATGGCAGAGACACACCAATTTCCTTTGATGAGCTTCACGAAAAGCTCATCAACAAGAAGCTCTCGATTTTACAAATCAAACAACCACTGCCTCCTCTTTTCCCGCAACTGCATTTGCTGTCTACACCAAACCTCACCATCGTACTCCCTCCAAGCAATCCTCCCCAGGTCTCCTTCCCACCCCTCCTTCATCTCACGCAAAATCCCCTCACCTATTTCCTTGGTAAATGCCAATGGTGTCGTGAACAAGGCCACGTTGTGGCTTGTTGCCCACTCTTCACTCATCAATTCCCGACTGCCTCCCCTCCTCCTCCACGCTCCTCCTCCGCGCAGTCCCCTCCCACCTCCTCTCAACCGCAAGCCAACCATGCTCACCTCTCCTTGCCCTCTTCCTCCTCCACTCCATGGTTATTGGATAGTGGGGCATCTCACCATGTCACCAATGATCTTAACAATCTATCCCTCCATGCTCCTTATGATGGAACCGAGGAGTTATTAGTTGGTAATGGTAAGGGTCTCTCTATTTCTCATATTGGCTCTTGTGTTATATCTTCTCTGGTACTCAACAATGTTTTAGTTGTTCCATCTATCACCAAAAATATTATTTCTCACTCTCAACTTTGTCTTGATAACAATGTCTCTGTATTATTTCAAACTAACTCCTTTTTATTGAAGGACCTTTCAACGGCGAAAGTGTTGTTTCAAGGGACAACTAGCCACGACATATATGAGCTTCCACCTTCTCCTCCGGATCCTTCAGTCTACACAAGCACAACTTCATCTTCCATTGATTGGCATCATCGTCTAGGTCATCCTTCTAGGAATGTTTTTCAGCAAATTATTTCAGAAAATAAGTTAAATGTCTCTAATATTTCCACCTTAGATTGTAATTCATGTGCTTGTAATAAAAGTCACAAGCTTCCTTTCTCTATCTAGTCTATTAAATCTACTGCTCCCCTTGAATATGTTTACACTGATTTATGGACCTCACCAGTTTATTCCCATGATAATTACAAATACTATCTTATCTTTGTTGATCACTACTCCAAATATATTTGGCTATATGCCATGAAACAAAAATTGGATACAAAATCTACTTTCCTCGGGTATAAAGCTCTTGTGGAAAAATATTTTCAACTCTCTCTCAAAACACTTTATTCAGATAATAGAGGAGAATATCTTACTCTCCGACAATTTCTCACAATCGATGGTGTTTCTCACCTCACCACTCCCCCTCATACCCCCGAACACAACGGATTTTCGGCACAGGCATATAGTTAAAACCTTTCTCTTTGTCCTCTCTCATGCAAACATGCCACTTAAGTTTTGGTCTCATGCTGCCTCCACAGCAACCTATTTAATAAACCGGCTACCTACACCTACCTTAAATAATGTTTCACCATTTTTTAAACTATTCGGTCACAAACCTAATTACACCAAGCTCCGTAGCTTTGGGTGCTTATGTTACCCCTGGCTTAAACCCTATACCTCTCACAAACTCGATCTAAAATCTAAACCGTGTGTATTTATTGGATATTCTCCCTCCCAAAGTGCATATTATTGCCTTGATCCTTCCACTATGCGCATCTATACCTCTCGTCATGTTCAATTCAACGAGTCAATCTTCCCCTATGTCTCCTTAACTCAATCGCCATGCACTTCCTCTCCTACTCTAATTGATCAGTGGGCTCCTCTCCATATTCCATCACTGCTACGAACTCCACCATCTCCTTCCCCAACTAGTCACTCCACATCATCTACGTCTAGCCCCACGCACTCACAATCACTCTCTTTAACCTCTTCACCAGCCTCGCCATCCTCTCCTTCCTCACCATCATCCCCTTCATCTCCAACATCTCCCTCGTCTCCCTCCTCCTCTGTTTCGCAACCTCAGCCCACCTCTCCTCAAATAGTTACTCGGCTTCAACATGGCATTCGAAAGCCAATAAACAAACTCAACCTCAATGTTGAAGCCCATGAATCCTCTAATCCCTAAAACATAACTCAAGCCCTAAAGAGTCCGGTGTGGCGCAAAGCCATGGAATATACTTACTAACTTTTTGCAGATTTTTTTAATAAAAAAACTGGTTGGTCACTAATTTATAATGTTTACAACTCGTAAAATAAACAAACTGTTGTCTAACAAATTTAATACGTATATTTATAATTGTGATTTTGATATTTATTATTTAAAAAATAAGTTACAATTGGTGTATAATTTAAAATTAAGTGACACTTTTAACAGGTTACAGGGTATATATCCTACAGGTTTTGGCTTAAAAAAATTTGAGAACCTAAACTCTATTGCAACAGGTTCTCCATTTTGCTACCCGGAACCGGAACCTCTTGTACAGGTTCCGGTTCCTAACAGGTTCCGATTTTGATTCAGGGTACCCTGATTTTTTGCTCACCCCTAGTTATAGGTGAGGTGAAAGATAGATAAATTAATAAAATAAGTGATAACCACAACGGTTGTGGGCAACCATTGTGTATGCTCTTACATTAATAATATATGGCTGTATGGTTTTGGAATGGAATTTTCTTTAGACGAATAATGTGGATTCATTCTATATATTGACGACGAATGTGACCTGGTGTTGAAGGAAAATCTCATTAAAACCTTAAGCTAATAGTTGAGACTCATGAATATGTTTTGTACTCTATCACCTAGGTGCGAGTTTTACATGGCGCAGCATCAAGCCAGCAATTTGGACCTTTTTAATGGCTTGAATATATATGAGGAGGACTTTGAAGTATATATCGTAGCAGAGTTATAGTGTTGATATATAGCCTTTCCTAACAATACATGTAAGTATCTCAGATCACATTGATAAAAGAAGAGATAGTCTTCTTTACTAATCTTTTAGTCTAATGACAGTTTCCTGACTTGCATAAAAAAAAGAGAGAGAGAGAGAGTCAAACGCACATAATATAAGTCTAAGAGTGTAATTTTCCTTTTATAATACGAAGTATAATTTTAAGATGAAGCTTCCTTTAAACTTGTGAAGTTGATTATTTCTCTTGACAACTCATACCCAAATTTGTTGTGATGAAACAAATGGTTAGCAAAAATTTCTCTATGACCCCACATTTTTTTATTTTTTTTTTTTTTTTGAAAGACATATATCAATGTCTATTAATTTATTTTGGATTAGAAGATTTAATGGTTATTACTGTGCATGACCCTTTCTATAATCAATACAAGTCTCAATCAAATTAGCACGGAAATGGAAACAAAAATGAGGTGACCCAAGTTGCCAAGCAACGTGAAAATTACATGTTTTTTGGAACTCAAACTTGCCAACCGACATGGATATGTATCGTGGCCTTGTGGGATATAACATATTAATATTTTTATTTATTTATTTTTTGAAAGACATATGTCAATGTTTATTAATTTATTTTGGATTAGAAGATTTAATGGTTATTACTGTGCATGACCCTTTCTATAATCAATACAAGTCTTAATCAAATTAGCACGGAAATGGAAACAAAAATGAGGTGACCCAAGTTGCCAAGCAACGTGAAAATTACATGTTTTTTGGAACTCAAACTTGCCAACCGACATGGATATGTATCGTGGCCTTGTGGGATATAACATATTTTAATTAAAAAAAATGTTATGTATCAATTTATAGTCATATAGGGTGTACAAGTCTAAAGGTATTAAAATCTAACTCGATTGATCCAATTTGAAATCAACCTGAAAAAAATTCAATTCAAATTTCAACTTGTATGAACAGAATAATTTAACATGATTAATTTTAAAATAGAACCGACTCGATCTCACCGAGTCTGACATGGACACCCGAATTAACATCTATAGGTACTACTTTTCTTGTATTAATGCAGTCACAGAATGAAGTGTGCTCCTCATTGTGCATCTTCAATATATGCATCTATTACCTCCATTGTTAGGCTCTAGTTCAAGCTAAATACTCAATTTAACTTATAGGACGGTTATATTAGAACGAATGAAGTACTCTTTCGTTTTTGTTAATCATTTTTATTCATTTATGTTATGAAGAGTGATATTTATTATTTAATAATCCAATTCTTCCATTCCTTGATAATTGACACACTTGATAACTACTACATATAGCATCACGGTAACGCCTACAAATTGCGATTTCACCATGGCGGTGAGGACTATCCCAAGATAGCAAATTGTCTAATTTAGGAAGGTCTTCAAAGTAGTCTAATTTTAATTGGTATATATATCTTTGTCACTACAACACAACTCACATAAGCTTTCACGTACGTCTCGATACATGTCCTTAATTTAGTCAATATACTTATTAGAACTTCCCTTTCTATTAACGCCCCCCAAGTGATAGAATCTCATTAGTCATTACCTTATCGTAAACCTTATCCGAGTCAATGAAAATCTTGTACATTATCCTTCTCTCTTGGTAGAACACTTTAGCATAGCCCAAATAGAAGCAAATGAATATAAAACACTTTTACACTTCTCACAAAACATGGAAAATAAAATAAAATTTTTGACAAGTCCCATTGGTCAAATATGATTAACCAATTTTTTTTTTTTTTAACAATTTCTTATATGTGGCTAGCCACACTGTGTGGCTAGCTAGTTATAGAGGTTATTCGGTTAGTGTTATAAGGGTTACTCGGTCATTATAGGGCTTATTTTGTCATTGTTATAGGGGTTATTTGGTCAATGTTGTATGGGTTACTTTGTTCTTTTACAACCAGCGGCCATATGGTGTAGCCAGCCGTACACAAGACGGGTTTTTTTTTTTTTTCTTTTTTTTGTAGACATCTATCTCATAAATGCAAAAAAAATTTCTTGCGCTGCCCTTTAACGGATTCCATCCACTTTGCCGTTTGGAGGACTTACATTTTTGTATTGTTCTTTTCCTCCAACCACCACTAAAATTCCAAGAACCCTAAATTCAAACCTATCGTAGAATGAAGACAATTACTCACCAAACTAACATGTAAATTTTTAAGTAATTGTTGTAATTCATTTGCTATGTAATGGGTTTAGGGTTTTTAATTTTCTTAAATTATCTTAATTAGGATTCAATTTAGGTATGAGGGTTTCTATTGAATATGGGGTTTTGCATTTCTGGGGCTTTAGGTTTCAATTGAATTAGGGTTTTGCATTTTGGGTCTTTAGTGTTTCAATTCAATGAGTTTTTAACTAATTTGTTCCAATTTTCATACGTAGAATGTCTAATTCAATGGTTTTTTTTTTTCATACTTGTTAATTCTATGATGTTGTATGTAGTAGAAGGGGATGCAAATTTTGTAAATGGGTAGATGCAAAAATATTGAAATGACAAACGAGTTGTTACAAATCAACTGGTGTAAATTACTCTAAAAGGAAAAAAAAATTTGAGCAGTATAATTTGCTTAGGTTAGAAGGAGATGGTGAAAGGTGAAAGAAAATGGAGGGGAAATTGGTTAAGGGAAGAGGCAATAGTTTAAATGAAATTAACTGGGTGAGAAAACGAAAATATGGGCCCTACGAACGACAAAAATGGACCGAGGGATACTTTATAATTATTTTTTTTCCGGGCATATGTTCACAAAACAAGCTTTTCATAGGGTACTTTTCGATAAAAATTTTGTGTGGAAAATTAATTCTTATGAAACCGGAGTATATTGAAATTCTAAAATGATGACTACCCGAAGATCTATAGATTATGGAAATTTATAAAGTTAACTCCCTCTAATGAGCATTGTTTTTCCCCAAATCTCTTCTCTATTTTTCTTCATGTATCCTAATCATTATGGAATCGACAATACTCAGAAGAAGTTTAGTTTAGTTAACTGAATCATAATGCATGCATAACGATCAAACAAAACCAATAACATATGATTTGTGGAAGATATTACTAATCAAAATTTAAGACCAAAAAAAAAAGTACTGAAATTGAACATAATAGGCAGAGTTAAAACGTTTGTACCTTATGTTTGGTAGTTGGATGACCGATATTGAAATGATTGGAAGCCAAATTGTCATGTTGTTAAGGCAAAAGACAAACAACTGGACTTTTGAAAACAATGAAACAGGGGATCTT